AAAAATATAAAATATGAATCAACACCGATTCACTTGGAGATACCTGAGTTTACCCGTGTGTACCTGAGTTTACCCGTGTGTACCTGAGTTTACCCGTGTGTACCTGAGTTTACCTGAGAACCACTAACACTAACGGCCTCGACGAGGACAAGAAGCCGACGGCTTGTCGAAGGTCCCCCTATTTGCCTTGGTGATCTTTTCCAGCTGTACTTTAAAAGTTAACAGAATTTTGGCATTTACGGCTTCGGCGGGTAGGCAGTTCCAAGGGTTAATAACCCTGTGGGTGAAAAAGCATCTCCTGTTCTCAGTCCTACATTTGTGACTTGTTGAGCTTGAAACCTTTTCTCCTTGTATCACATATTATTAATTATAACAGTAATCGAAAAAAGTCATAGTTTGTATATACAAGAGATAAAACAGAGAGCTAGATCGATGTGCTGAGTCCATAAGGAGGCCGAGCTTCCGGAAGTACCTTCCTGTGATTGGCTGTTGCGGGAAATACCAACACTCTTTTATGAATAAAATTTAAACTAAGAAATAGGTCCTTGTGCACAACAACAAAGTTGTTGTGAAAAAGAACAACAACTTCTGTTTTGCACCTGACAGAAATCGCCATCTAACTGAATAATTTACTCGATTAAGAGAGCAGAGCAGCGTATCATTATTTGTGTCAAGGCAACCCCCAATAATAACGTCACAAGTTAGGTAGCCAGCCCATTTTTATATAACATTTGTTATATCCTGCAATATTTAATTATCACTTTATTGACACTTTAAATAACTAACACCTCACTTTTTTGGGTAAATTAAAGTTAAAGCAGAATTCCATAAGCATTTGTTGTGGGCTGAACTAAGATTATTTACTAAGTGGATGGCACCTATAGCTGATCCCTTCCTGTGATTGGCTGTTGTGTGAATGTCAACAAAGAATGTCTACCAATGATATGCCATTGATTATGCACCTCATACCATCTGTGGGCGGAGCTTGGAACCTCCTACCCGAGCACAACAACCCGCCTTATGGGTTGCTGTTTGGCTATTTATAGTGCGTTGGAAAAAAAAGAGATGGCGCTAGTGGTATTTTGTGGGGTAATTTGTTATAAGTGTAATTTGATGTCAACAGATGGCGTAAGCTGTACCTTATGGCTACTATTGCCCAGCCAGTTGATAGTGTTCTCTTTTGCCGACAGATGGCATCAGCTGTATCATTATTACCTCCGAATTCCCTTTTAAATACTGACCTACAAATCCCGTAGCTTATGATACGCTTTTATATAGTTGATTAATTAATTAATAGTTTGTGATAAGGATTAGGTAACTTTAGTTCTGCAATGTTCTTATAATGTTTTTTGTCTATTTGTACTCACTGAATTTGTGCGACCCTTGAGGGACTTGAAGTAGAGGGGGGGTAGAAATAGCCTAAGCTATTATATCCCTTTGAGATGTATTTCTTTCTTATCTCAATAAACTTACTTGAACTTAAATGGACATATTCCGGGCTTCATAAGAACGACGCCCGCCAGTGTTAACACCTTACATCTGAAGGACCACAAACATGGTCGAACGCACAAAACACTTGACTATTTACGGGCTATTGATGGCCGTGTCACCTTTTAGGTGGCTTAATCTTTAGCAATCAATTAATCACTTGACTGTGGCCAGTTTTTGAGTAGACTCTTATTACATTTACTGTGTGATATACTTATATATAATAATTTGTATTAAGGGTAAACGCCTAACATGTAATATTAATTAATAAAAACACGCACCTAACTCCACATGTCTATTGTGTATAAGTAAAGTTGACGTAAAAAGTATAAGTTAAAGTTGTGCTCTTCTGCCCGGAACGCTACGCGTGTTAGTGGTTTTACAAGAATGTATAAACATCAATGCTATGTACTCTCATAAACCCAAAGTACCTTCTTGTATATATATAAATAAATAAATAAAGTATTTTGGGCGCTCATATACTTGTGCGCTGGCTGGCGTTCACAATTGATCTAGTCTTCAAGGACTAGATTTAGTCAATCATAATGATAATAATGTTTATTTATTTAGGGGGAATAAATTTCTGGGCACACTGATTAATAATGGGCACCATTAATAATCGTAACATTATATTAATTCATTTTTTGTTGTATTAAAAATATAAAATATGAATCAACACCGTTTCACTTGGAGATACCTGAGTTTACCCGTGTGTACCTGAGTTTACCTGAGAACCACTAACACTAGCGGCCTCGACGAGGACAAGAAGCCGACGGCTTGTCGAAGGTCCCCCTATTTGCCTTGGTGATCTTTTCCAGCTGTACTTTAAAAGTTAACAGAATTTTGGCATTTACGGCTTCGGCGGGTAGGCAGTTCCAAGGGTTAATAACCCTGTGGGTGAAAAAGCATCTCCTGTTCTCAGTCCTAGATTTGTGACTTGTTGAGCTTGAAACCTTTTCTCCTTGTATCACATATTATTAATTATAACAGTAATCGAAAAAAGTCATAGTTTGTATATACAAGAGATAAAACAGAGAGCTAGATCGATGTGCTGAGTCCATAAGGAGGCCGAGCTTCCGGAAGTACCTTCCTGTGATTGGCTGTTGCGGGGAATACCAACACTCTTTTATGAATAAAATTTAAACTAAGAAATAGGTCCTTGTGCACAACAACAAAGTTGTTGTGAAAAAGAACAACAACTTCTGTTTTGCACCTGACAGAAATCGCCATCTAACTGAATAATTTACTCGAATAAGAGAGCAGGGCAGTGTATCATTATTTGTGTCAAGGCAACCCCCAATAATAACGTCACAAGTTAGGTAGTCAGCCCATTTTTATATAACATTTGTTATATCCTGCAATATTTAATTATCACTTTATTGACACTTTAAATAACTAACACCTCACTTTTTTGGGTAAATTAAAGTTAAAGCAGAATTCCATAAGCATTTGTTGTGGGCTGAACTAAGATTATTTACTAAGTGGATGGCACCTATAGCTGATCCCTTCCTGTGATTGGCTGTTGTGTGAATGTCAACAAAGAGTTTCTACCAATGATATGCCATTGATTGATTGATGAAGATTAAGCCACCCAAAAGGTGGCACGGGCATGAATAGCCCGTAAGTGGTGGCCCTTTTGAGCCATTACCAGTATCAAGAGCTGATACTGGAGATCTGTAGAGGCGCGACTGCACCCTGCGTGACGGGAGATGTCTCCCGTCCCACGCATATCGTTTCAGGCAAACTATATGGCCATGAAGGTCACAGGGAGCAGAGAGGAACTCTACCCGCCTGACCACTAGGCTAGGCGGCAGCTAGTCTAGTGGTCAGGTGAGGAGAAAGTTCGCCACTAGGCGGCAGCTAGCCTAGAAACTTCAAGGCGCTGACTAGAAACTTTCTCCCACAACATAATTGTGAATTCCGGCGTGATGCTATAGGTTTTAACGCTGCTAAAGTATACACGGCGGGGTAGCGTTTATCCTCTATACATTCATTGGTCGGTGAGAGTATAGTAAGGCTATATAGATATAGATATTTACTTCAGCAGTTGTCGCGGTTGACAAACGTCAAATTCCTGACAGTTGATTTTTTGCAGAGTTGCAGGGCTTTGACTCCGGGTGAGGGGGGGGGGGGGGTAAGGTTAATTTAATATTTAGAGATTAAAAATATGAAACAGATTCATGGAAAATGAAAAGGAAATGTGTGAAACATTAAACGAAAGTTTCAAAGTGTGTTTGTATAAAATGAAATCTTCAGGGAACCAGACACAATAAGAATTCCAGAGAACACCATAGAGCACATAGAGGTGTCTAGAGACACTGAAAAAAATGCTCAAGGAGCTAAGTAAGAACAAAGCAGTTGGTCTAGATGGAGTTTTACCATGGGTTCTGAGAGAATGTGCACCTGAGCTCAGCATTCCACTTCAGCTGATTTTTAAGGCATCCCTGTTTACAGGAGTTGTAGCTGATATGTGGAAAAAGGCTAACATAGTTCCAATCTACAAAAGTGGCAGCAGGGAAGACCCCCTTAATTATAGACCGGTATCATTGACAAGTGTAATAGTCAAAATATTGGAAAAAATAATTAAAACTAAATGGGTAAACACCTGGATAAAAATGATATATTATCAGACAGACAGTATGGTTTTCGATTTGGAAGATCCTGTGAAACGAATTTACTCAGTTTCTATGATCGAGCCACAGAGATATTACAGGAAAGAAATGGTTGAGTTGACTGCATCTATCTGAGCCTAAAAAAAACAGGCTTTCGACAGAGTTCCACATAAGAGGTTGTTCTGGAAACTGGAAAATATTGGAGAGGTGACAGGGAGGCTTCTAACATGGATGAAAAATTTTCTAAACAAAAAAATTGGGCATTAATCAGAGGCAATGTATCGGACTGAAGAAATGTCACGAGTGGAAGGGAAGAGAAGGGAATAATTATCAGGGGAAAGCACCAAGCCATTAAATAATTCATATGTTAGATAATATACTATATGTATGTCCATAAGCCTTCTTGGAAAGGCCTATAGTGCCTACAAATATTATTTTGCACATCTCGGGGTCCTGTTTCAATATGGCGGCCTATTGACCTCCAAGATGCTTCTATTTATCGCCTTTCAACCCACTCTAGAATCTATGATCTCTACGGATGTGTTGTAAACATTCTCTGATTGGCTGAGACGAGGGCGTGTGCCCTCCCTCCCCCTCCCCTCCCTAATAGAATCGTGAATAAATATACAATAACTTTATCGTCGTCGCACCTCAGTCACCAGCAACACACGAATCTGTCACAAAGTGAGTTTATCTAACAAATTAATCTGTATTTTAAAATTATTACTTAAAAAGTTTACACTTTAAATTCCGTATATAACAGGATATACAAATTATCATAATACTTCCAGTTTTCAGTGTTGTCATAACATACGAAGCAAAAAAATTATTTTAATATAAATATAAGACTCTAAAATTTAAGAATAAGGGCCAAATATACATTTTTATATGAAGGATTTGCACGGAGGAATAATTCCTGAGATGAGTGAGGGAGGCGAGCATCAGGAGGTCCAACATGGCGGCCACGGTCCTGCGACGGCTACTGCGCTCACCTCATAATAACCTGCTTAATATCACCAGGGCTTGCCAGCTCAACCAGGTACTATATGTGTGTGGGGGGCAGGTGTGTGTAGGGGTGCAGGTGTGTAGCGTTTTGTGCTGTGTCGTCTGCAGTTTGATGATATATAAGAGATCTGCTTCAATGGCGCCTCACTGTGTTTACCTGATTAGTAAACAGTCTGTTTTTCTTTTAAGTTTATTGGTGGTGAGGCTGAGACAACTCATCAGGTGTGATGAATCCTCAATCTTGATACCTCATGGGTGTATTGTGCTGGTTTAAATCTTGTGATGTTTCTCACCAGTATTTTGATAATGCTCTGCGTGTAGTTACCCAATTACAATTATTTAATTACAATTAATTAATTACTTGTGTGTGTGTGTGTGTGTGTGTGTGTGTGTGTGTGTGTGTGTGTGTGTGTGTGTGTGTGTGTTCCCTGTTATTGAAACTGAAAAGTTTCGATAAAACGCAACTCTTGATTGTACGAAGGAGCCGGTGATGATCCAATATAGACAGTAGCTGAGTTATCTTATTTGGATATCATGAATTTTTGTTTATTTGTATACTCTGTTGTTCTCGTATTACCCCCAGGGCCGCTTCTCCCCATGAAGATGGGGCATGGGATGGTGATGGTAATACATACTGTATGTAGTGCAGTATTGTGCCGTAGATTTTAAATGGTGCTGTGTCGAGTAACTCCCACAGCCGCAATGTTTACCTATAATATCACATTTTAATTTAGCCGGTAGAGTTATGAACAGTATATCATTAAAGTCCATAGGCTGGCATTCCTAATGTCAGTATATGTGGTCTCAGTCTCCGTGGTGTAGTGGTAAGACACTCGCCTGGCGTTCCGCGAGCGCTATGTCATGGGTTCGTATCCTGGCCGGGGAGGATTTACTGGGCGCAATTCCTTAACTGTAGCCTCTGTTTAACGCAACAGTAAAATATGTACTTGGATGAAAAAACGATTCTTCGCGGCAGGGATCGTATTCCAGGGACCTGCCCGAAACGCTACGCGTACTAGTGGCTGTACAAGAATGTAACAACTCTTGTATATATCTCAAAAAAAAAAAAAAAAAAAATATGGAGGATTTCTGTTGATCACTAGATAGTTCCTGAACTTCCTGGTGTTAAAAAATTTGTATGTAGAAAACAAATAATGAGTGAGTAATGGAATGTGTATTACTGGCGATTTGTAGAAATTCTCTTCTCAATTAATTTTTTCGTTTGATTTCAGGGAGGTGTTTATTTCCTGTCAACGTCCGTCAATCTAAAGGCGCAGTTTTGTGAATCGTCTCTTGAAGCCGTTAAGGATATTCCTGCAGGCTCCAAGCTGCTTGTTGGAGGTTAGATTCCAGTGACGTCTCATTGTAAACAATGCTGGCTTTAGAAAACTAAATTTTTACTTTTTGTATTGAGTTTTTCTCATGCTCTACATGTATTTATTATTATTATACATATTACCTTACACCTATCACCCAAATACATAGCAACAAGTTTCACATATCTGTACTGTATATGAAAGCTAAAACTTTCATATTGGCATGAACGTACATATGGACCATGTTTGCACTTGTGTAGTGCCCCTTGAAATTCATGTAAAACTTCACCCATTTGAATGAAACTTAGATATTATATATGGTGAAAATTGGATATATTACTGATCCCTCCAGAAAGTTCACATCTTTCCACTTTTTCTGTAAATATTTATTATATATTTGCTCACAATAGAGGGAGCTGGGTTCATGCCTCAAACAGGACAGAAATGGTTGGGGAGATTTCCTCTCGCCCGATGCCTCTGTTTACCTAGCAGTAAAATTGGCATCTGAGAGTTAGGCAGCTGTTGTGGGTTGCATCCTGTGGAAGGTTAATAGTTGGCTTACAGCTTCCCATCTCCAACAACAAGAATTGTAATATTTTATAATCCCTTCACTTTCCAGCCACAAATACTGTAGTCACAATGCAAATATTGTGAAGTCTACAGTGTTTAGAATGTAAAGATGCAAAAAATATAATTCAAATGCGTCACGAAACAAAAAATACAGGATGTAAGGGAGTGTAAGGACAGCCGATGATGCAGTACCAATAAACTTCTGATTCCTCCAGTAAATCATGATCATGTCCATGTAAAGTAAACACAAAAATCACCTTTTTTTCTAGACTGAGAATGAAGTTACTAACCTTGTTATCCAATGCCAAACAAAACACAAGCTGCCCATGTCATTTAAATTTTGTTAATTGTGCAGATGCCTGATCTTGGACCACTGATCTCTTAGATCTATATAATATAGAATGATAGTAATACATGTATCCCAAGGGCGAGCTACTGACCCTTCCCAAGATGCAACCCCACAACAGTCGTCTAACCGATGCATATCTATTTACTGCTAGGTGAACAGCTGCATTAGGTAAAATAAAATGTTTCCACCCATTTCTGTTCTGCCCAAGAATGTATTATGGTACCAGATAGATCTTTCCACACATCTATTTGGAATTAGTAGATCTGAAAAATTTGCCCATGGTACAATTGGTAGAGCATGGTACTGGAAAATTGCTTTTCCTTATTATTTATTAATAAAACTGTATGTGCTATTCTTCAACAAACACTTCAAAGGCTTTTTCCAAGAACTTTTTACATTTAAAAGCACTTGAAATGACCAATAAAGAATCTATACAGTATAAGAAGACTCAATCAAAAGAAATATTATAATTTTGGGTGGCTTATGAAATGCCAGAAATGTTAATTGGGTACTGTTATGTAGGTGCCTGACGGCTGAGTGGACATCGCTCAGGGTTCGTAGTCCTAAGGGTCTGGGTTCCATCCCCAGCGGAAGCGGAAACAAATGGGCAGAGTTTCTTTCACCCCTGATGGCCTGTTCACCTAACAGTAAATAGGTACCTGGGAGTTAGACTTCTGCTATGGGCTGCTTCCTAGGGATGTGTTGTGTGTGTAAAAATTAGGATTAAGGACTTATACAAGAATGTAAAAAAAAATAGGATTAAGGACTTACCCAAAACGATATGCATGCTAGTGGCTGTACAAGAATGTAAGAACTCTTGTACAGTATATATAAATAAATATAAAGTAAATAAAATTTAAAATGCGTGAGTCACTGAGCAGATATATTCCACTTAGGATTTGGTCTCTGCGGCATCCCGGAGAACCTCATTGGAGCTTTGCTTGAGACGAAGGTGAATGATCTGACCATAGTGAGCAACAATGCAGGTGTTGACAACTTTGGGCTTGGTTTGTTGCTCAACCAGAAACAGGTCAAGCGCATGATATCTTCATATGTTGGAGAGAATGCTGAGTTCGAGAGACAGTACCTGAATGGGGAATTGGAAGTGGAATTGACACCACAGGTAAGCTGATTGAAATGACTGCTTTTATATTTAAATATTACAAAATATTCAATATTAAGTGATTGTCCAACTATTTTTGTCAATGAGTTAATCAGTCCAACAATCCAGTTAGTTCTATAACTACTATACTTGCTACTTTGCCCAAAACGCTATGCGTACTAGTGGCTTTAGGTATTATATGTACTACCTCTTTCTTTAAATCAAACAATGTTTGTACTGTAACTCTGCAACTATGTACGTACTTTTCCTAAATAAATTATTATTATTATTATTATTATTATTATTATTATTATTATATTAATTTGGAGACAAGTTCACATTCCAAATGTTGTAAGTATGTGTTATACATACAATTTGCTATCTCCATCTCAAATGCTTGACTTGCTCCCAGGAGCCTCCGACACACCACACTTCATCCCTCACACTTTGTCATATATTCTTCCACTCTTCTAAGATATTGGTCATCTGCTTCCACTATGTGAGCCCCCCTTTATTTCACCCTTCTTGTTAAATTATTGTCATTCTGTAGCACAATTCAATTCAATTTCTTTCTGTAGCACAGTCATCTATGTCTTTGGCTTGCAACTGAAGGTCTCGGTTTGAGTCCCTAAACGGGATAGAAGTGGTTTGGCATGTTTCATTTCACCTGATGCTTTTTTTTTCACCTTGCAGCAAATAGGTAGCCAGGAGTTAGGCAGTTGTTGTGGGGTGCAACCTGGGAAAGCCAGTAGTTGGCCTTGGGGGACCTTCATAAACTTAAGTACAGGCTTCTTTTTCCTGACAATGGATATTATTATAATCTAGCATTATGTCCACTGTCATCTCACCCTTATACTTCTACATATTCAGTTATTCCATCTATACCATGAACCTTAAACTTTTTCCCTATTCATAACTAATTCCTCCATTACCATCATCCAGTGTTTCATTGGCCCTTTGTCACATCTGATTTTTCCGAGGGAGACATGTTAGTACAGGTATTGCGTGTTTCACCACTTGTAACACCCCAAACTCAAACTATAAGTTCCACCTATTGGTCTGGTGGATAGCGCGCAGGACTCGTAATTCTGTGGCGCGGGTTCGATTCCCACACGAGGCAGAAACAAATGGGCAAAGTTTCTTTCACCCTGAATGCCCCTGTTACCTAGCAGTAAATAGGTACCTGGGAGTTAGTCAGCTGTCACGGGCTGCTTCCTGGGGGTGGAGGCCTGGTCGAGGACCGGGCCGCGGGGACACTAAAAGCCCCGAAATCATCTCAAGATAACATGCATAGCTCTCAAAAATACTTTCCTCTTTACCACCCCACATCCTGCAATTTTTATCTCCTACCATAACTATCTTCAATTTTCTCTAAAACAATTTCTTATTTCTTACAAAGTCCTCACTCAAGTTCCTCCCAAAGTCTTTGCCTTTTACATTTTTGTTTATTTAACCATTTTCTTTACATAGTAAAAACTAATTTGAGGAGCATCCCCTTTGAAGCTTCCCAAGCTAAACACTGGTCCTGCCAAGCTTTAGGGAGATGGAAACATTTGTGAATGAAGCCACCTGGAGGCTCCTCTGCTTCGGTTGGTAGTTCCTGGGGGTAGGTATATGAGATGTAAACATGAAAGTTCTCTTAATTGCTGCAGGGTACATTGGCCGAGCGATGTCGAGCTGGAGGGGCTGGCATACCTGCATTCTTCACCCCCACGGGTTATGGTACGCTTGTTCATGAAGGAGGAGCACCAATCAAGTAAGTAAATCAGGTGCTGCTCATACTATAGTCTCGAGAGTAAATATTTCATATTTTTTCACTTGCGTATTACGTGTTTATTGATTGGGCAAATCATTAAATTTCTCCTCATTTGAAACTTCCACTGTCCTCTGCATTTTTTTCCAAGAAACAATCATTTGGAAAATAACCAATCACTGAAATAACTGGATTTTTAGTATTGGCAAATTTATTTCCTCTGGTACTTGCAATGCCTTATTTTAGCCTGTATCATCATGTACAGTCTTCACATATGCATTGTTGTGCCATAGTAATGCCTACAGTATCTCGGTACAAGTGTGTGTGTGTTACTCTCCATTCATTGTAGTTTGTGTTCACTCGGTGAGTGTGGGGGCTGGGGGGAGGAGGGGATGGATGAGAGTTTCCTGTGAGCGTGCACACAGGAAAGTCAGGTGATGGAAGGCAGCGCGGATGGACGAAGGTTTTAGTGTTGTATGTTGCCTTTTTCAGCCGGATTACTACTACTACTACTACTACTACTACTACTACTACAGCATCTTTTTTCACAGTATAATATCATGTGCTTATACAATATATGTATTCAGTTTAAGCCTTGTGTATTCATCTTCTTCATGATTTCTCATATTATTATTTGTTCATAGTGGAATATTTGTAGTTCCAAAACGTTTCCATCACCATTTTTATTTTATTTTATTTTATTTATATACATACAAGAAGGTACATTGGGATTGAGGATACATAGCATAGTAATTACAATCTTGTAAAGCCACTAGTATGTGCACTAGTACCATCTGCAAGTTCTATTATTTTCCATATACTCTTATTTTATTTATTGTTAAGTCAATAGTCATGCTTTTTTTTGTACCCGTGTCAAAAATTATTTACTACTATTCACCCTGTATAGATACGGCAAGGATGGCATCATCGACATACAGAGTGCCCCCCGGGAAACCCGTATGTTCAATGGTCGTAACTACATCATGGAGGAGGCTATTACTGGGGACTTTGCTCTTATCAAGGCCTGGAAAGCTGACAAAGCTGGCAATCTCATCTTCAGGTTTGGCCCATGTTTTTTTCACATTTTAGATACAGGATGATCTGTGAGATGGCAGGTTGTGATTAGTAAAGTATTCAGGTTCATGTATAGAATGTTGCCAGACCTATTTGTACTTTGATTTTTCTATATTACAGTATTACTAAAGTTCAGCATTAAGCTGTGCATAATATATTATCGTATCTGGCCATGTTATCAGATTACCTTGCGCAGGTTTCTTGTGCGTTGTGTTTCTCTTGCCCCAGATTTTTTTGCCCTAGTTCCTGGTAAACAATAGTACGTATCTACCTAGCTATTTGTTAGGGGTCTCGGAGGCCTCACACATTTCCCCCAAGGTCTAACTAGAGCACCACTTAGCTCCTCCAGAAAATAGCATTTCATTGCATTCAACTCGTTAATTTCTTGATTGGAGTCAGTTGGCAAAAGTTAAGAAATGGGTACAGTACTTGTACGATGCTTGTCTTCATAGCCTGCTTGGGTTACTAATGAGAGCGTTGCCAACATGATAGGGTGTGGGTTATTTTCAGAAGGGGAAGGCAGTTGGAGCCGGTCGGTAGGGGAGCCGGTCAGCCGAGCGGACAGCACGCTGGACTTGTGATCCTGTGGTCCTGGGTTCGATCCCGGGCGCCGGCAAGAAACAATGGGCAGAGTTTCTTTCACCCTATGCCCCTGTTACCTAGCAGTAAAATAGGTACCTGGATGCTAGTTAGCTGTCACGGGCTGCTTCCTGGGGGTGGAGGACTTGTCGAGGACCGGGCCGCGAGGACACTAAAGCCCCGAAATCATCTCAAGATAACCTCAAGTTGTGTTGTGGGACAATTCATAAATATTTTGATATTTGTCAGTTTAATTCAGAAGTGTCATTTGGATAAAGACTTCCTGAGTTTGTCAACCGTTGAGTGATGGTAGCACACTTTTTCAACAGAAAGACGGCTCGCAACTTCAATCTGCCAATGTGCAAGGCAGCTCAAACGACAATAGTGGAAGTAGAGGAAATAGTGGAAGTTGGAGAGATCCCAGAAGATTTGGTCCACATCCCTGCCATTTATGTAGATCGCATTGTCCTGGGAGAGAAGTATGAGAAGAGAATTGAGGTAGGTTGGGTAGTGTTGCAACAGGTCAAGCAAAGTTGAAATAAATATACTGTAGTAGTAATGCAGTAGGGAGGGATAGTAATGATTTTGTCCTAGATTTTTACTTGATTTTGTTAAATGCCTGTAGAGTATTTTGCTTGGAGTTTTGTATGAACCAAACTATACCACACACCACTAGTCAGTGATGCATTTCAGACATTCATTACTGTAGACATTTTTTACTGATCTTCACTTCAGCATAAATAGTATATTTAGTCCACATCTTAATTCATTTCCGTGTATGTCCCAGAATAAGATGTACTGTATTCTGTTGTTGTTGTCTTTCGTGCCTGTTGCCATATGGTAATTGGAGCCGCTCTCCTCCGTAGCGCTTGACCCTGAGCAAGGAGAAGAAGAAGAGTGCAGCAGCGTCTAACCCCGCAGTGGCAATGAGGGAGCGTATTGTGAGGAGAGCTGCCTTGGAGTTCAAGGATGGCATGTATGCCAACCTTGGTATTGGAATGCCCATGCTTGCTAGCAACTACATACCCGATGGTTAGTCGTCTTTACACTTTAAATTTAATGTAAACGACAAAGTACAGTATTATAGGATGTTGAATTTCAACTCTTGCTTAAAGATTCCTGTATTATGTCCATTCCAATTTAAATTGTCGAGGATGCTATATATATTTGGGCTTGTCTATATAGTGATGCGTACTTTCTATTTTTGAATTATTAATGTCAACCATAATGATATTTGTTTCCTCGTTCTGTGACATGTTATAAGGAGTTTGTTAAATAAACCATTAATCAATGTTAATTAAATGTAAATTAATATGACTAAATTGTTTCTATTTAGAGAATGATTGTTTGCAAAATGATTTTACTTAAGAAAGAGGTCATACTCATGAAGTAAGATTTTAATAATGAGAATCATAATTCTGAGGCAAGAGTTAATGACTTACAGAATTTATAATGGTTAGACTTGCATAATATTAATGTATTGTCTAGTTTACGGAGTTTTATGTAATGGTTTTTTATTTACTTTTAAGTATATATACACAAAGGTACATTGTTTTTGCTAGTACAGATAATGGTGATTAAATGCATGATGTTCAAACCACACATCAGCAAATTAAGAAACAACAATGCTTTAGTCCATCTAATAATGGTCCAGAGGCCAGATTCACGAAGCAGTTACTCAAGCACTTATGAACCTGTGCATCTTTTCTCAATCTTTGGCGGCTTTGTTTACAATTATTAAACCGTTAACGAGTTCCGAAGCACCAGGAGGCTGTTTATAAGAATAACAACAGTTGATTGGGAAGTTTTCATGCTTGTAAACTATTTAATAAATGTAACCAAAGTTGTCAAAGATTGAGGAAAGATGTACACGTTCGTAAGTACTTGCGTAACTGCTTCGTGAATCTGGCCCCCTGGACAGACCGAAACATCATTGTTTCTTCAAAAGTAAATTGCATAGTACAGCTTATTGAATTCCTCATACTGGTTAAACTCATACACTATGCTATCCTTTGGAACGTATTCTTTATAACATGTGGGGATGAAATATTTGTTAGAAAATTAGTTACATTTGGTTGCAGGTATGAATGTGAAGCTTCAGAGCGAGAATGGTGTGTTGGGTCTTGGGCCATCCCCAGTTCCTGGAAGCCAGGACCCTGACCTCATCAATGCTGGCAAGGAGACAGTCACTGTCATTCCGGGAGCATCTTACTTCAGTTCAGATGAGAGCTTTGCCATGATTAGGGGGTAAGGAAGAGAATATTATTAGTTCTGCGCAAAACAAATGATGTTTTTCTTTAGCCTGCAACAAACGGTGATTTGTTTGCTCATGGTGAATGAAAACACAGTACTATACACGCATCAGATTGTAAACCACTTTCTCTTCCTCAGTGGACACGTAGACCTGACTATCTTGGGAGCGATGGAGGTGTCTCAGTACGGTGACCTTGCTAACTGGATGATTCCGGTGAGTAACCATAGTTAAGGAAGGGGAGGGAACAATCAAGGAAAAGTATCAAGCCATTATGACTATATAGCACTTGGAAGGGGTCATGATAAGGATTTGGGATGGGAAGGAATTTTGCCCAACCACTTAGACGGTCAGGGATTGAACGGCAATCTGCATGTTGCAAGGCCGTTGCTCTACCGCCCGCCCCAAGTAGTTGGGTAACCGTAGTTAAGGGGATCATCCAAGACAATATTAATGAGGTAAGGTATGTGTGACAGTCTAGTGCCTCTTTATAACAGCTTTAATGTTCAATAATAAGCAGATATATTGTAAGTGAAATTTACTACAATAATGTTTCTCAATGCAAACATTCAAAAAATACATTTTTTGCACTTACTCAGTCCTTTCGGAACTGTGACGATGTTTGTAGTTATGAATGTAGCTTCTAAATTGAAATATAATATTGTACAATAATATTTTATCTGAGTTTTTGCATCATCAGGGCAAGATGGTGAAGGGCATGGGAGGAGCCATGGACTTGGTGTCATCTCCTGGCACCAAGGTGGTCGTCACAATGGAACACGCTTCCAAGAAAGGGGACCACAAAATTGTCGAAGCCTGCTCCCTTCCTCTCACCGGCATAAACTGTGTTGACATGATCATTACTGAAAAGGTGATTGAATTTTACTACAAGCTTTATTGTTAATTGATGCTTAACGTTTCAGTCGTTTTTCACAATTTGATAAGTCTTAAATTTCCAATGCTTTTGACTAACCAGGAGCATATAAACCTAGGCAAAATCACCTCACCTATCTAGACCAAGTCTCATTAGCCCAAATGATGCTTCAGTATTATAGTGTTTTCAATTTCACTCAAGCACTTGAATTTTGAGGCAGTCTAAAGTATTAAAAGTGCATTGATGTAAATGTGAGGAGACATAGAGTTTATAGTGTGAAATATTTAAGGTGGGGGGCATTTGTTTACATATACAGTACTCTTAATCAGTGATATGCCGCTCTGATATTTGAAGAGTTCAGCAGATATAATTCAGTTATGTTAGTCAAAATTATTTTCTTTTCAGTGCGTATTCAGTGTTGACAAAGAAGAAGGGTTGACATTGGAGGAGATTGCTGAAGGTGTGAGCATAGAGGACATTGTGTCAAGCACTGGATGCTTATTCAAAATGAAAGATGATGTGAAACCCATGGGACAGATAGAGGTTCCAGAAGACTGAGGAGTAGCCTGCTCACGCTCCCTTGCTGCTTCTAACTAACCTCACTTACTTGCCACACTTTGCAATCGTGCATCCAATTGTATAGTTTTCTTTTGATATCGCCATATGTTAAAAATGCACTTTTCACGTCGGTAATTCTAATATTGACAGCTAAGTGTTTTCTGGTAAGAGAAAGTTGTACAGTAGTATATACTTATACAGTGGCTAGTCTAGCTTTGTGAAATTTTTGTATATTTTTGTTAATGTTTGATTCTGTTGATTTCCTGTAGAAGATATTTTCAATACAGTGTGAGCTCAATGATCTGGACCAATTGGTACTTGTACAGTATATCCAAATCCCTGAAATCCAGACAATAGAGTTAATACCCTAATTTTCCCCATGCTCTATGGGTGAATGTCACCTAGCTAAATATTAATTCCAACTTATGATGGGCCTCTGTCACAACCTATTTGTAAAGAAAATTTCACCTCATCTGGCTTATTTTTTCATGCCTTGCTCTCAAAACCTTATTATCAATATTATGGGGACTCCCGGTTTGCCGCCGCCTCATTCGGGGGGCAGTGGCGGGCGTCGTTCCCCGTCGTTCCTTATTATCAATGGCAGCCATTTGGGAATGGAAAACTGTGCTAACTGCTAATGAAAACGAACCATAGAATACTTTTCATGTGTTGAGTGGCTGTCGCAGTGCGCTAACTATTTCTCATGGTATCGTGCATGCCTACCAAAACAGTCATGAATGCAGTGGAGCAATATTAAATGAGTTGTTATTCCTACTGTAATTTTTCATACTCATTGGCAAATTTCACTTAGCAAAATTTAAATTTCAATGATTATGATGGTCACATTCCAGGAGAATCTTATTGTATTGCCCAGTATTTTCTCTTAGCCTAAAATAAAAATATTCTATTAGAATTTCTATTACTAAAATTTCCCTGCCTTGACCCCCTCTGGGGTAAAGGCAGAGTTATGACCCCCTAATATTTTAAATGAACCATTCCTATTGACTTATCACACCTAAAAAACCTTCTTTTGCTCTGGAATTTCTATAAAATATCTTTGGAGTAAGTAATTATGGAGATACGGTCTAACAACTAAGTTCAGAATTATATTTTTAGAATCAAGTCAAATTCAAACCTTCACTGAACATAATTTGCCACTTATAAAATGAAACCCCTTTGCTATATGATATCTTCTGAAATGGGCCCATTGAATTTCCACATTTTCTAACTTTTTGGTTACAATTTTCTAGGATATTTTTTTTGTTACTTTTACAAAATCAGTATTTGGGAATTGTAGGTTCAGAAGTTGTTTTTATACATATTAATTCATTGATATACGAAAGTATTGTATTCAAGAAAGGTCTTGCCAGTTTTGTCTTCAATGTTGACATATTTTGTTAACAAACAAAAGCTGTTTATTCAAAATGCTTCCACTGTTGAACCAGTCTTAGTGTCATCTATTGGTGTGTGAAATTAACATTGTTCTGGTACTTGCTTGCTATTTATGATTAATGAATCATACTTGAATATTTCAAAAGTTAGATATTCATTATATTATAATGTTTTTTATATCCGCTGTTCCTAAGCTTTCTTGTCTCTCAATGCATGACTTTTCTTAATTTTGTATCTAAATATTTATGCCATTCTTGCCAGTGGCGGAGCATTGATGGATCCTAGAATGCATTGAGCGGGTAAACGGCAGGAGTAAGTATATCCACTTGGTTAGCCAGATGGGGAGACTCATCGTTTGCTGCCCTTTCATAAATCTCTCGGTTATATACAACTTTTTATACAGATAACAAAATGAACTTGTTAGGAGTCATTTTCCAGGGCACCTCATGCCTATGATTTAAAAAGCAACACTACCTGGAATATTTACAAACTTTCACATTCTCTTGCTATTTTCACTGATGGTTCTAAATCCCCATCTGGTTTAGGGGTTTCATTGTCATTCCTGATACAATGCATAAATCCTCTTTTTGTCAAAGTTTTATTTGATTTGTTCTTAATAAGTTGGCTTTCGTAACCCACTTCTCTATTGTAGCTTGTATGCGTGCCTTACCGGCTATTGAATCTTTAAACCCCACTCAATTATTTGGTAACAGAAATCCAAAATTAGCCATTTTCCATTTTAGTAAATACAATCAAGTGTAGTCGAACTGAGTATAGACTCCAAAGAATTGGCCAGTGAAACAGCAAGATCTTCCATTCAGCTCTTGAAGACTCTTTCTTTCACAGATTACTGCCCAATAATTTATTGAATCTCTTTAATGGATCAAAAGTTTGTCTTTCTGATCTTATATTGACATCTTAAATACTGTATAAATAATACTTTTATTTGTGACTGGGATGGTGCTATGTAGACCCCGACTCTGTGCCTCCTGTTGATAATTACTCGCTGGTGACTGGGATGGTGAATAACCATACTGGCTTAGCACCATCATCTGATTATTACTTGCCAAGTTTTATTCCTTACCTAATAATTATTATATTTTTAATACTCTTCAAAGTCTATTTAAAATTTGTGTAGTTAGGGAGAAATATATTTTTCATTTATTCCTCAGTATGCACACGCTCTTGATCCCAGTGCTACAGCCACTGTTGTCAATCTCGTGTTTTCTGCATTGGGAACTGATGGTCGTATGTGACTTTTCTTTTGGTCGTAATTATAGTCTTTATTCTCTATATTTTAAAGGTTGGTAAAAATAATTTTGTTGATCTCTTTCAGTGGATGCGTTCATGATAAGGCTAACTTTGATCCGCATGAGGTTTAATGCCTCACTGTTCCCCATAAAGTGTGACTTAACCTCTGCACTGCGCACCTGTTTTTGGCAAAAACTTCGTAGTGCTATTGTTTAGGACATATTTTTGTTAGTTTTTATAAATGCTCAGGTAAAGTTAATGTCAAAACGTTTCCAAACTCAAATATTGTCATTTCAAAACACAAAGTGATGAAAACATTACAAAACATTAAAATATAGCCTAATTAAAAAAAAATGGACAACTCTCAAAACGACATTTGTTGGCCGGCCCAGTTGAGGGGGTTAAACATCTCCATTTTTCCATTTACTTCATAAAACATCTACCCAAATAATATTACTGTACTACTGGTACTTTCCAGCCACAAATACAAAACATGTATAATATAAATGCTGAATGCTCGGACAGGCATGAAATCAGATGTGATGCTTGGCATCTCTTTCCAAAACAAAACCTCTGTTGCATAAAACTTGCAATTCTCTCATCACATAAGTAAAAGTTAGGCACTAAAACTCAAACAACATACAGTAACTGCAAATCTGCGTACACCAAATTCACACAGATTGAGTCTTGACTTTCTGCAACAGGCTTTGGCTGACCTCGCCACAAAAGTAAATAAAACAAAGATGATTTTTATTTTTTTTAATATTTTAGTTTTTAATAAAAAGAAAAGTATTTACTAAATTGAGTAGTAGCAAGCAGAGATCTATATGTTTTTAGTTACAAAATGCTGTTAAACTGATTTGAATTATAATATTACAGTATGCACCAGCAACCTCTTACAAGAGCTACTCATTAATCATAGCTTAATATGAAAAATACTTCCATGAGTATTGACAGCAATGGGTACCCTAAAATCTGAAATAGGCACTAGTAGTCGTAGTGAAAAAAAAATATTGTTGATCAAAATCTCATTCTTGAATGTGTAGATGCTACTGTTGAATATTACCTGCATGATCACCAGACACTCAGATAGGCACGTGAGAAGTTTTACATTTCGTGTAACCACTGTTGTTGTTTTAGATTCAGCTACTCTGAACAAAAAGTTCCAAGTAGCACAGGTTGTGATGAGCCCGTAGTGGATTTATCTGGCGCAGGAGCGGGGTTGTAACTGTCTTGTAACCATTTACCACTTTAAATGGCAAGCTACTGTATCATTTATTTACTGATGAGTACTGTGTATGTTTTTTTAACACCATGTATTCATTTACAGTATTTATTAAATAAGTATGCACTCTGATCAGATCTGCCCCCGTACGCTCCAAATTGCATTGTTCCACCTGATGGTCATACATCTGAAAAACTTAGTACAGGTAATTTTCAAATTTAATATGGAAGCAAAATGAATATTTTTGTTATAAAATTATCTGTTACATCATAGGAGGAACCACTTTAAAAATTTTAGGAATGTTATGAGGAGGAAATTATTAGGATTAGTAATGGTATAATGTCTTCTCACAGACATAATAACATAGGATAATAACCCATGCTTGTGTATTTGTGAAATTTATGTAACGAATTTACACAGTCTTTTGCACTCTACTGAGTGCTTAATCAAGGTCCGAGTGTGTGATTATGACAAGACTTAAATCTCAACGTCTAAACAGACATTCGTGTAAATTCCTTACATAAATTTCACAAATACACAAGTGTGGGTTTTTATCTTATATATTATTATTAATGTTAAGACCAAGCCTCCTCATATTATGAGACGGCCTGGTTACGAACCAAGCCGTTGGGGTGTTGAGCTCCGAAATCAACGCAAGGTATGTTTTCATGTTAGAAATGAGTTTTATTTTTATGTTTTTTTTATGAGGTTGAAGCTAGTAAAGCTACGGACACGAGCGGTGCATTAATATTGTATATAATGTATAGTACAGTAAATTTTTTACCTCAAGGGCATTACCATTGACATTGAAATGTTTCAGTGTTTCACATTTGTGATTTTCTTTCTGGTAATTACAATTAAATATTTATGTGTAAAACTATTTTTGAAAATACAGTACAGTACTACGTGTATATTGTATGTTGCAGCTATTATTTTAGTATGAAAATGTTTTGGAGTGGAGTAGTAAAGAGTTGAGGCTTGGTCTGCTTTTATATATATATATTATTGACTGGGTTTTAAGCAATAGCCCTGATCTTTTATGTTTACTTCAGCAGTAAACATGACTTAATGTTGGTCTCCCAACTAAATACCAACATTAGTATTGCAGGTTCTACAAATGCAATAATTTAGGTGATTAAAAGGTGCAGATAACTTACCTGTGTATTTTTTTATTTGAAGCTCATGTGAATTGCCACATATTAAATGCTCATAAGGCAAAATTATTCAAATTATTTTCCATCTTATATTCATATTTACCTTTCCATTAGGCTGGAATGGATTCAAGTGTGTCAACACCATCGTGTGTTGGTGTGGTTAGCTCAGCTGCCCGCCTCACAAGCAAGAAGACAGGGTTTGAGGCCTGGGTAGGCTGGACACATTTAGCCTCCTTTTTTTTTCACTGCCAATGAGCACTTAGCAATAATTGAGGAGGGGATTTCAAAAGATTGGCAAATTGTTCTAGCAAGACTTTGTGCTCAATAACCTAATGAGGTATAGTACCTGGCTTAAGGCTTAGCCCCAAGTTAACGAATCAAATGGAAATACTATAAATTATTCAGCCCAGTTAATAGTACATAACTGTACTGTATAATTAAATGCACAAATATAATGGCAGTTAATCATGATTTTTTTTTTTACACCAACAGTCATGTATTATGCTCTCAACACATGGTGTAGTCATTCTCTAAATGGCGTAATTTACAAATTCTCATTTTCATTCATTTGCGCATCTTCTCAGGTCCTCATTGCCACATTACTGTACCTTGAGGAGTTCACACCTGTTTTGATCATGTAGTTACTATGGCCCATGCGTGTTAGTGTTCTCTGTTGCATTTTAAGTTTGTGTTGAAATTTCCTGCGTGCACTTGAGCTTGATATACATATTGAATAGGTTTTGAGTTGCATTTCGTCAGTTACCACTGAAGTCACATGCTGGAATGCTGATAAACTTTGTGTTACAACATTGCTGGACTACTTAACGAATTTCAAAGAGATTGTTGACCTATAATTATTTCTTGTGTGGTGATTACTTTGTGCAGGACAGAGCTTGGGATTAATTGCAGCTTTATCGTTTATTAAGCTAACTTTTATAATTCACAACTGTGAACTTTACATAACTGAACTTTGTGTATTAGAACTTTTGCACTAAGGCTTTAGTCAGTTGCCAAGCTTACTTCATTGTCATTAGAGTAAGCTTACTTATGGAATATATCATTATAAATATAATCCTTTTGCATACGGTGCCTTCCATACTATCAGCATTGTTGTTTTTAACAAATGTGATTTACAATAGTTTGTTTTGTAACTTTCTGGTTGCAGTACTTAACACAAAATATTGACTTTATAATTTGCATTTTAATGATAGTAATGCCAGAGAGCTGAAACATTTACAAATGAAAGAAGGAATCACTTTGTTTAGACTAAATATGATTGTTGTTGTTATTGAAAATCTCATCACAAAAAAGAATACTATTTTAATATTGTATATAAAAATCTTTTAATAAAATGCCAAATTCAAGTGCATATTCCTATTTTTTCCCCATAAGCACAGTGCAGAAAATATGAGGTTTAAAACCAAATTCTAGGGTTCATTTAGGTAGCACCAAGTGGGATACTATGAAGATGATATTAAGTAAATCATTGTTCTACTTTTAAATGAAGTATAGGTTGGACAATTTTGTAATTCATTAAGAAGTGACTTGAACCCATACTGCCAGGAGCACTATGCAACTGGTGTACAGGAGACCTTAACCACTCGACCATCAGTGACCGTACTGTCATTCATTACAGTTCCAAATATTGGGTCCTTTTATTAGCATGGCATGTTTGTAGAGATTTGTTCTGGGAATATGCAAGTGATATTTATTTTTGGTGATTGTGATTCTAATCACAATGATTGTGATCATTGTGGTGATTGTGATTGAAAGTGATTTCTAGCTCATGGGTTCTATTACATCTATCTAGGAAGAGTTTCAAAACACGATTTGAATTTTGGAATAAAGTTTTGGACATGTGAATAGCGCAAGAGAATGTGTGGAGTGTATGTTTATCATGTTCAAGGATTTAAACAGGCTGTGTGTTATCTGATAACAGAATTTGCTATAGATTAGATAGCTGATTTTTCCTGGGTGATGATGGGCTTGAGGTAGTTTGCAGTGGTTGAACCCCCCATGCACAGGTACGGTAAGTTAGGAATAGATTAGTGGATATTACAGTAGTATAAGAAGAGCAGAATAGGGGAATATACTATTTGATTTTTGAGAGAATACAAACAGTTTTAGACTTTTTGGTTATGTGTTACACAACCCCCACCCCCCCAAAAAATTTTTTAAGTCTCTTGTCCATGTATAGGCCAGGGATCTTTCCCTAATTTTTACTATTAATGTTGACATTGTTTATATGAGGGTGCATTTGGCTCAACGATTTGTTTCCAAATAAATTGCAAAAGGTCTTTTCTAAGTTCAGTGTGAGTTTGCCAAAACTTACACAACCCAGCATTGGGCTATACTTGTCCAAGTTGGGGCTGATGCCAAAGACGCATTCATATATATTTTACATGTACTTTATAATGACAAACTTTCTCTAAACTAAATTATTGATCATGTATACCTGTTCTAGAATTTTGTGTATAGTTAGGCTTAGTTTAGATTAGGTTAGGTGCTTTGGTTTTATTTGTCATTATATATATTTGAGAGTACGTGGACAACCTGTCCTCAGGTCCTGCTCGTCTGAACAATGGTCAACCTTAAAGACCCATTCAGCCATTTAAAGGTATTGTACTGCACGTGTAATGAAAAACAGTATTTCATCAATATAAAATAATACTATATATTATTATTTAATTTACATTTAGGCCTAGGATAGATTAGATTTGGTGTTTAAGTTCGGTTTATTATTTTTATTGCAGTTTCTCGTCTATGTTCGTCCAAATAGAGGCCAACCTCAAGCTCGTTCATAAATTTTAACACAATGTGCATTCAAGATCAGCATTTTATCAAATATATATAATAATATTTATTTTTTGAACATTTTTTCAGTTAAGCATAGTTTAGGTTAGGTATTTAGGTTCTGCTAGCAATTATTTGTATTTGCAGTATGATGGTGAAGCATTTAGGTAAATGCGATTCAAACAGGGCACAACCAAAGTATTGAGTAAAATTCAAACATCATTAGTTGTGATTCGTCGGTAAAGTCGATCAGTCTCCACCAACAAATGCCAAATATTAATAACATGCAGCCATCAAACCTCTTGTTTATAAATGAAAAACTCTTTACACACCAATCACAACATTTAGAGAGATACGATTCGAAAAAAGGTCGTCAGCGAAGCACTGCTCGAGAAATGTTCGAACGTCAACAGTTGTGAGTCTCGTGTGTGTAAACAGTCAGGTGGACACTCAGTAACTATTCTCAGTCAATCTACAGGTCTAATGACGTCTGCTGCCATACAACCACTCACACAGGGAAAGGCAAACTGCAGGGTGTAAGTACAGTTTAATTCATTCATTTATTTATATCCACAAGAAAGTACTTCAGGGTTGTGTAATTCTTCCATTCTTGCAAACCCACAAACATGCATAGCTTCTGGTCCTTAATCTAATTAACAGAAATGATTACTCATCTTAGGAATCATAATAAAGTAATTTGAGTTAGCTGGAGTCAGCATCTATTTAGGCAAGAGTACATCATACAAAACTACATGAACAATAGAGGGGTCATAAGTAACCTATAAACAGTGCCTAAAGCCACTAAAACGCAGAGCATTTCGGGCATCTTAAGAAAACTGTAGGTCTATATAATGCTGCATTATTCTACAACAAGGTAGACATACTAAAATATTAGGCTCAGTTCCCTAGCTCTAACCTTTCCCACGACCGCTCACAGGCCGATATATATAATATAGGGTGCATAAAAGGAATTAAATTATTATGCAGGCTGGTGTACATAATAATACAAATCTAGTGACTAAAATACATTAGATACAATATGTAGTTGCAATGCTTTTGAAATCCATATTACGCGTTGCGTTCCAAGTAAGCTCAAATCTTCCACAAAATATATATAAATACATTGAACCTCTCCTCTGGGAGGTTGTTCCTCTGCACTTTAAAACAACTACGTAATTAGTGCAATTATCTATTCCCTATCCATGGTTACGTTAGTTTAAGGTTATATTAGGTGAGGCTAGGCTTCATTATGTTAGGTTAGGCTAGGTTTTATTATGTTTGCTTGCGTTAATATGTGTATTATTGTCAAATATGTTCTGACAAACATATTGTTGTTTGGATATGAAGATAAGAGAAGAGAGCATCTCCCACCACATTAAACATGAGGAATCATTGCTCTCTCTCCCCCAGAACTACTGCGTAAAACACTTTTTTTTCTTTATTTAAGAAAATACAATATAAATCATATATACATAAGTTATACAAGGCAATACTACATTATAATTATCATTGAACAAGTGTTTCATTATCACAGAACATGATCTTTAAAACCTCTGAATGTTATACTTATTTTTCTTTAAATGATTTACAAAAAATGGAGATTATATTTACATTAATTTACAGGGGAAATTATTAGTATTCCTGCCAACCCAACACCTTGTGTAGACCGTAGTACTTATATCTATGTGAACCATCGTACATAACATAATGGAACATTAGATGGTTGAATTTGGTGTTATTCACGTTAAGAAGTCTGGAAAAAATAAAGATGAAAACCAATCTTAGCGAAATACTCGAGTATTTACCGATCTCGAACCCATTGTTGATGTGACGACTTATATTGAATTTTGTAACTAGCTCATCAAGATTGTAACTTGCTTAGCTAAATGAATTGTGGGGTTCAGTCCCTGAGCCCATTATGTGCCTCTGTAACCCTTTCCACTACCGCCCACAAGATGGGTATGAGGTGCATAATAAATGAACTAAACTAAGTAAGTATTTACCGTGTCGTTAATGTACTGTTTACGTCGTTCAGGACGTAAAGAGCAAATAAAAAAGTAAAATAATTTTGAAAATGTCACCACATGGTACTGACCTCATATATATATAAGGCGTCACAGAGACAGTAGTAAACTTACGGGCTATTCATGCCCATGCCACCTTTAGGGTGGCTTAATCTTTATCTATCCATCAATCAACTGATAGCGTTACGGGCTATTCATGCCCGTGCTATTTCTAGAGTGGCTTAATCGTCAAGGATAGAGTGGTGATGGATAGGTAATACGATCGAGGATAGAAACATTTTAAACTATATATTTTTGAACTTATAAACGGCTCCCTAGGGTCGCCAACTACCAACCTTCCCCAGGATGCAAGCCACAACAGTTGCCTAACTCCCGAGCACCTATTAACTGCTAGGTGAACAGGTGCATCAGGTAAAAAGGAAACGGTGCCCCCAAACGTTCGCATCGCGCCGCGGGAATTGAACCCGGAACCTTTCCTGTGTGATCCGAGTTCAAGTCTTTCATCAAGCAATAGATATCTCCACGGAGCATTCATACTCAAGTGTTGCCTAGGTATTACCTTCCACTTTAATTACATCCTAAGTGGTCTTTGGGGGCACGAACCCTGGCGGGTTTGAAACACTGCTCTTGGTTATACACAGAATATGTATATATAGTCATATATGTGTGTATATCACGAAAATAAACACGTGATTAAAAATGTGGCAGTGTCAGACCACGGAGGAAAATTGAAACAGGAATTTCCTTAAGTACTTTCGTATATTAATACATCTTCAGAAGGAGTGAAGTTCTCACTCCTTTTGAAGATGTATTAATATACGAAAGTACTTAAGGAAATTCCTGTTTCAATTTTCCTCCGTGGTCTGACACTGTCACATACTCATATATTGAATTATTTATATACAAAAAGGTACAATAGGTTTGTGAGAATACATAGCATAGTAATTACAATCCTGTAAAGCCACTAGTACGCGCAGCGTTTCGGGCAGAGAATATATATATACATACACCTTTCATATAAATAAATAATAATAATGTTTATTCAGGTAAGGTACATACATACATACAAGAGAATTTACACAAATTGATAGATTTATAGATAGAGCTAGTACATACAATGCCTAAAGCCACTATTACGCAAAGCGTTTCGGACAGAACGTCATATAACGTATAGAACAGTATAGTCTACTGAAGTTGTATAAAACTAGATATACTTATCTTAATAACAATTGGTTACGTATATTATTGTTTGCATATATTTTTTCAATTTGTTTTTTTCATTATAGGCGTGATTGATTGATGTTTGTATCTATGTTTATAGGCCTCTCCACCTGAACGTTTGGGGTTCATGAGGCTGTTATTGCAAGCACTGGACACCTCGTATAATAATGATAATGTTATTGACAGAGAAAGAATGAAGGATAATGTATATACTATGAAGTTAAATCGTTCTTGTTACTGCTGATGTATATATTAGTCTTTGGTTTTATTGTTAAAGTTTGTTTATTTTTTAGCCTTGTCATATTTTTTGGTCTTGCAAGCTGTTTCTTTCCCTTGTCCTCTTCTCCTCTTTCTTGTCCTCCTCTTCTCCTCTCCCTTGTCCTCTTTTTCTCTTCTCCCTTGTCCTCTTCTCCTCTCCCTTGTCCTCTTCTCCTCTCCCTTGTCTTCTTCTTCTCTTCCTTGTTCTCTTCTTCTCCTCTCCCTTGTCCTCTTCTCCTCTCCCTTGCCTTCTTCTTCTTTTCCTTGTCCTCTTCTTCTCCTCTCCCTTGTCCTCTTTTTCTCTTCTCCCTTGTCCTCTTCTCTCCCTTGCCTTCTTCTTCTTTTCCTTGTCCTCTTCTTCTCCTCTCCCTTGTCCTCTTCTTCTCTACATCTTCCATTTTCTGCTTCCTGGTGCACTCCGCACTTCACTTTGACTAACTCTTCCTTTAAAACCGTGTGTATGGGATGGGAACACTAGCCTGATCTTACACGAAGACAACAAGTCACACTTGCCACACACACACACACACGTGGTTAGAGGTATTATTAGGCGTTCAAGTTCAAGTATGTTTATTGAGACAAGAAAAAATACATTTCAAAGGGATAGAGTAGCTTAGGCTATTTCTACCGCCTCGGGTTTATTGGGAGTACACACACACACGACATTGACCCATCACTACCAGACTGTGTGGGGCAACATAATGCTCACACACTGCCTGGCGCTGTCACTTAGTGTACACAAACACCTTCCTACCGTTCACCCTTCCATTAATAATATCACAGAAGAGATAATATCATCTTTGACAGTGACACTCAAAGGGCAGAAAGTACGAATATAACGAGACACGTTTAGAATCGAGGAATATATACGGACAGCACACAAAAGATCCTCTAATGTGGCATTGTAATTGCCTGAGTTAGGCTGGGATGTTGATACTTGCGACAGGTGGCTGCAGGTGATGATTCCCCCGATGGTGAACACTAACTGTAAACTGTGTGAACAAGAGCAAGGACACACGGGATCATCTGTGTGATTCATTATCATAGATTCATCAGGAATCTGTACACTAATTGATTGACAGTTGAGAGGCGGGACCAGAGAGCTGAAGCTCAACCCCTGCAAACACAACTAGGTGAGTACACTCTCCATCACATCAGGGCATTACATTTATTAACTACTCTTGACTGAAAAAATTCTTTAAATGGCTCATTTGGGTACTCAATTTCCACCTGAGTCCTCTTGTGCGAGTATTATCGTGTTAAATAATGTCTTTATCTACCCTGTCAATCCCCCTGAGAATTTTGTATGTGGTGATCATGTCTTCCCTAACTCTTCTCTCCTCCAGTGGCGTGACGTGCAGTTCACGCAGCCTCATAACTCATTCGTTGTTGTTATGGAACAAGTCTAGTGGCATACCTTTCAACCTTCTCCGACTTCGTTTTATGTTTGACACGGTATGGACTCAATGCTGGAGCTGCACACTCCAAGACTGGACTGACATATGTGGTATATAAGGTTCTAAATGATTTCTTACACACGTTTCTAAAGGCAGTTCTGATGTTAGCCAGCCTCGCATACACCGCTGATGATATTCTTTTGATGTGGGCTTCAGGAAACAGGTTCAGCGGGATTTCAACTCCTAGATTCTTCTCTTTGTCTGTTTTATTGAGGACTTCATCTCCCATTTGGTACCTTGTGTCTTGTCTCCTGTTCCCTCCACCTAATTGCATTACTTTACATTTACTAGAGTTAATCTCTAATAGCCATTTGTTGGACCATTTCTTCAATTTGTGCAGGTCATGTTGTAGCCTCTTGCTATGTTCCTCTGTTTTAATTCTCCTCATAATTTTCGTATCATCAGCAAACATTGAGAGGAACGCGTCTGTTCCCTCTGGGAGATCGTTTATATACATCAGAAACAGGATCAGTCCAAGGACTGACCCCTGCGGGACTCCACTTGTGACGTCTCGCCACTCTGAGACCTCACCACTCACAGTGACTCGCTGTCTTCTCTTGCTTAGGTACTCCCTTGTTCACAGGAGTACCTTCCCTTCTACTCCTGCCTGCATCTCCAATTTATGAATTAGTGGCTTTAGGCATAGTATGTAATAGCTCTATCTAGAAATCCAACATTCTGTTTGTAATTCATCTTGTATGTATGTATGTATGTATGTATGTATGTATGTATGTATGTATGTATGTATGTATGTATGTATGTATGTATGTATGGCGTGTGTGTGTGTGCGAGTGATATGGTGATTGTTGTTGTTGTTATAGATTCAGCTACTCGGAACAAGTTCCAAGTAGCACGGGCTATGGTGACCCCGTAGTGGACTTACCTGGCACAGGAGCGGTGGGATAGGGTGAGACTATAGTAATCCCCCGCAGGCCACAACTCTCCCTCACCCATGACTCCCACACGCTGCCGGAGACGACATAGTTTGCTTTACCTCTCACCTGGCCTCTCACTCTCTCCTCACTCTAAGCATAGAGGAAGCCAACACCTGGCCTGAGTGTCAAGCCAGCGCTTGAACTCATCCCGCTTCTCTGTCACTTTGCCAAAGAGGTTTTTCACTGGCTTTATGTCAGAGATGAAACGTATCCAACCATTTCTGTTCTACACGGGGTTCGAACCCTGGTAGACCACTACTTTCTTTATGCATTTCAAGAGAAGCGTATAGGAGGTAGAATTCCTAGACAACAAGGCCGAGTGCATTGTGTGAAGTCCTAATTAGGCTTCAACGGAAGTCTCAGGAACCCTAGAGGATTCAGTGGAATCCCAGGTGGCATTGTTTTTTTACCATGTCGTGGTGTAGTTGTCTAGAGCGTGCTTGGGAATACGCAATACATAGGTTCGAATCCTCCACACGGCTCCTGTTGATTTTCTCATTTATACGTCCTACCTTGAGGTGCTTCCGGGGCTTAGCGTCCCCGCGGCCCGGTCGTCGACCAGGCCTCCTGGTTGCCGGACTGATCAACCCGGCACGTTAATGTGATTTCTGTGTGCAATAATAATAATAATAATAATAATTATTATTATTATTATTGGTGGGGGTTGTAATATAAAATATTATAAATTAGTGATAAGATTAGTATTCATCATTGTGGAAGCAGTAAATATTTGTAGGTTCATTAGGATCAGAAATATTATTGTAATTGTAACTTACTATCATGTATTCTCCTGACGGCGGAGGTGACGAACACACTCTCCCAACGGCAAGGCGTGAAGATATACGATAAACAAACGAAAATAAAAGATAAATTGCTCCATCCGGCAGAAATCCGACCCTTTCTTCATTGTGGTGACGTCACAACACGGCTCACACACGAACGTCAACAAACAGCCGAGGAACGTCTATTGCCTCTCATCCGGATTCACAAAGATTCGTCCCTTTCCCCCCCCCCCCCTTGCCTCCTCTCACTTCTATCGTCAGTTAACGATAAGATAACTTTTCTAGATATCTCTATGATGCCGCGATATTGGGTAATTTGGGGTGAAATGGCACGTGTGTGTGCTGACCTATTTGTGCCTATAGGATCGACCTTAGCTCTTGGACCCCCACACACCCAGTTTCTAGTACAATGGTTCATGACCTATTTCTTATCGTATCTACTTTTATAATTATGAATGGAGCTTGCTTCCACAACTTGTTCCTTTAGTTCATTCTAGTTTTCCACTATTTTTACGCTAAAAGAAAAGTTTTTAACATATCCATCTAATTCTCTAGCCTCCAGCACACCCTCCTGTTTGGTGGTATTCATTGTGAACATTTCCTCTTTTTCCACTTTATCAATCCCTCTTTAAATATTTTATACGTCTCTATCATGTCTCGTCTCTCCTCTTTTCTAGCCTCGTCGGTTCTAGTTTTTTTCATTCTTCATATCCCATTCTTTTTTATTCTGGGACGAGCCTCGTTACAAACTCCTGAACCTTTTCGAGTTTTCTTTTTTTTTTTTTTAGATGGGGCTCCACGATGGGGCGACATACTCTAAAACTGGTCTCACGTAGGCAGTGTACAGAGATCTAAAAGCCAACCTTATTTAGGGTCCTGAATGATGTTCTAATTTCTGCTAGTATAAAATATGCTGCTCTTGTTGTTGTTATAGATTCAGCTACTCGGAACAAGTTCCTAGTAGCACGGGCTATGGTGAGCCCATAACTTACCTGGCACAGGAGTGGGGCAAGTAGCACGGGCTATGGTGAGCCCGTGGTGGACTTACCTGGCACAGGAGCGGGGCAAGTAGCACGGGCTATGGTGAGCCCGTGGTGGACTTACCTGGCACAGGAGCGGTGCTTGTGTGCTGCTGATGTTATCCTGTTTATATGAGCCTCCGGAGTTTGTTAGGTGTGATGTTATGTCCACTCCCAGGTCTTTTTCTCCAGTCGTTACACGAAGGTTGTTTACTTTCCTTCTGTACCGTCCTTTTGGTCTTCTGTCACCTGTTTCTGATTCCATCATCTTACATTTGCTGGTGTTAAAATCCAATAGCCATTTCTCGAACCAACTGCAGCTTATTTAAGACATCTTGGAGAATCTTACAAGCCTCATCTATCTCAACTCTTATTATTAATTTTGCAACGTTTGAAAACATTGACAACAGTTGATGCTTTTAACATAATGAGAAATAGCAGTGAGGTACTCCGCTTGTACCTCATATTCTGTGTGTGTGGGCTATGTTGGTACTCTGTGTGTGTGTGTGTATGTTGTGTGGGGTGGGCGCCTCATAATTAAGGGATCGGATTCAGTACCTGTGTAAATGCATTATTTAGGCTTCCTGCCCTCTGTATACGTACATACGAGAACAAATATACGCAGTCTTACAAATACGTACATACTCAAACGCTGCTTGTGGGGTCAAGAACTGCAGCAAGGCCATATTAATTCTTATTAGATACGTTTACATATTCCCATTCGTATATTCATCAATATATGTACTCAACACACGCACAATACATGTACGCATACACCACCACACACATACAGACATTTCTGATTTGGACAGAGGACATGACGGCTATCAGACTAGACAAGTCACATGATATATATTGCAGGAAGGTGCTAAAGTCTCATATAAGCCATCAACTCAGATCTTTAACACATCACTTCTGACATGGGAGATACCAGACTGTTAGCAATAAGACAATATTATTGTTAATTAAAACAAATGACAAACGGGAAGCTCTAATTAATCTGCAGACCAGCCAAGGTTCTGATAAGGGAAATCCTGTTTCACTAAATAAAATTATATAATAATTTTATATATATCAGACAAAACGGAACGGTGGGTTGACTGCAGGTTCCTAGACTACCTGGAAGCTTTGGCTTTGGCCTGAGAATAAAGATAACCTTATGGGAAGGTGAAAGGAAGGACAAATGGAGAATGCAAAAATTGCAA